TGACAGGTTGAACTGTTTGGTTTCTTCACGTATGCAGTGATACAGCTGACCCAGCACGCCACACACAAGAAGATCCTTTTTCATGAACAACCAGAGTCTTGATGCAAAAAACTAAAAAAAAATACACCCATGCTACAAAGTCAGTGATGGTGCAAGCTAACTAGCAAACAACTGTGCTAGCATAAATACTAGGGCCCGACCGATATGGATTTTTTTGGGGCTGATGCCGATAATGGGGGTAAAAAATCTGATTCCCAATTAATCAGCCGATTTTTTAAATTTCTAATGAAGTTTTAAAATTTTGTTAATTTAAGTAATATATCTAAATATTCACTTGTTTTTTTTAATCAAATGGCTGCTTTTGAGCATTTCAAAGACTTCTTCAAAGAATTAAAGGCAGAAAACTCCTTTCAAATCCTTTTTATTGCTAAAACAACCCCTGGCTATTTATTTTAACTGTAATAAAGATGATAAACTAATTCTTTTCAGCTTATTATTCAGACTGTAGGGGGTGTGAGTCTGATTATTTTGTCATCCTCTGTCTTGTCAAACTCGCACACTCGTCATCCTCTGAAAGAAATAGTCTATATAAATAAATAAAAATAAAGCTAACTCAAGTACATCATAAAAAACGAGGAACGCTCGATATACTGTAGGCTACTGCTCTCCACGCCGACAGGAAGACTGACTGATCTTCTCAGTAATATTCCACGTATTTATCATAGATCAAACTCGGACCAGAAAAGCGACAACTGGCAAGTTTTGGTTGTTTACTGATTAGTCTCAAAAGGGCTCAAATTGGCCGATTTAATCATCTCGCCGATAAATCGGTCGGGTCCTGATAAATACATGAATAGAAATAATAATCTGAATGATAATCTGAATGATAAAAACTTAAAGTTTAATTGGTATTTGCTCGCTGATGTACAGGCAAAATGCCAACATTAGCCTAGCTTTAGTATTCTATGTAACTTCATTATGTAGGTGCTGGGGCAATTATTTTAAGTAGTGGTTTGTTGCTAAGCGTTGGATTCAAAAACCAAAGCCATCACAGTTTGATACTTTCTGAAGAAAACTCTGACAAGAATTAAGCCACCACCCCACTACTCCTAAAACCAACTTCAGGACCTGCTGTATGGTGTCCCTTCACATCAACTAGGTTAGGTCATTAAAAACGCTCAGTCATCTCATTTATTACAGGTCTTGTGTGTTTTGTATCGAACACAGAGGTATGAGTATAATTGCTGGTCTTTTTGATAACTTGCCAAAAACTTCTTGCAGGAGCTTTAAACTGGATAAAGATGACAAAAAGTACAGTACACAACATCACTTATAATGAAGAAATGATAATAAGAGTACTGCAGTGTTTATGCTAGGTTTAAATCTAAAATTATATTCACACTGCCCTGTACAATGATAGGATTTATGAGGAAATACATCACAAATCATTAACAGAATCTTGTACCAACACCAGGCTGTGTATGTTAAGCTTTTGGGGAATTTAAGGGCCGTATTTGAGACAGTAATTAGTGCCTATCCCTTTAGTTTTACTTGACAGGTATTGTGAATGTAATCCTGCAGTGATGGGCAGAGGAATTAGTATTTCATTATTTGATTTCACGTCCTGGTTTACAGTATCTCGGCAGAGGAGAGATTTTTGAAAAGGGGAAATTAATGGGAATATTGTGGCTACAATGGTTGGCTGTGGTAAAGCACTGGTCTCATAAAATTATATTTGTGGTGTTTAAACCAAGTCAGTGTCATGTGAGGAAGAACATGTCAGCGAGGAGAAAATCCTCTGTGTGGCTCTGAGCTGTCTGACACAGATCTTCAGCGTAACACGTCGACTCTTTCAGAATAAAAGAACCCAGGCAGAGCCAGCAGACTTACAGAGCAGCCCCCCTTTCTAATGAGAATTTGGTGTAATTGATGTCACGCTATGAGAAGATTGGGATCATTTCTCAGTTTCCTCTCTTTATTTGCTGCCATTTCAGAAATACGCCCTCTGAACTTTAACAGTCATTTATTCTTTCATTTCCTTCTCTAAACAAAAGCGCGGCCCTCTTTATGCTCATCACTGTGCCAGTGTGAGAGAAACACCATCTTGTCACGCAATGTAACAAAACCATTAAACGTGCAGCATTAAAGGGAGACGAAATGCAATTAGCCAAGAAATTACTCTGATCTTGGTGACATTTGGGGAGAAATTGTAACACAATATACGCGGCCAACGCTTGATTGACAGCCTAATCCAAGTTTGATGGGCGCAGGTCCACGTTCCCCGAGCAGAGCGGGTCGTCGGCAGATAACGAGTACAGCTGCACAACTCTGATAGCCGTGTCCGCCATGATTCGTCACCGGGCAAATTCCTCTGGTTTAAACGATGATGAAAGTATCGACCATTAATGACAGGATCATCTCCCTGCCTGAAATAAACGCTCTAATCCCTTTTGCCAGGTCCATGAATTCCTAATATGAGTTATATAAACTGGAGCAATAAATCAGTGTTAGCTCAGTTGTGTTTGCAAAATTGTACCAAGGCTCTTTGCCCCCTATTTAACATGCAAGATGGGCAACTGAGGACATCTTCGCTTAAGCTGTAACATCCAATGAGTTATTGCCGAGGATAGATTAACTTTCCCACTGCAATAAGAATTGCAAATGGGTGAAGAATAAGGTGGAATTTCCCTTTGCTATTGTAATCTGAAACATGAGTTTGACTGCAGCTGGTGGACGGTGATGAATATCACAACCTTTCATCGGCTAGGTCTTGGATCGGGTTGAACATGAGTGATGGAAATATCAGGCTCATTGTATTATAATGACATTAATCACAGTCATAGGGAAGTGAGTCACACAGGGAGAAAGACATGGAGACAGAGGTTAACAGTGAAATCTGAGATTAATTTGTGTTCACGGCTCATGTTAAAAACTGATTAAAGTTAAAGTAGACACAGATCAGCTAGTTGCTTTTAAGCACAACTTTTTATATAATGCTTAATAGCTGCATAACTTACACATGAAGTATAAACTGATTACGGTATATTTTCAAAAAAATATTGGAGCTGGTTTTATACTACTTTTTTTTTTTTTTCAAATACTGGCGACACATACTTTGACACTGACTGATATTGAGTACCTTCTGATACTAGTAATAGTAGTAACTAACTAATACAAGTGGAAAAAATAATATGGATAACAGTGATGGAAAAACACTTAGGGCCTGTACACACTAACAGCATCTTTGTGCCAGCAGCACCAGTTTTCTGTACAAAACCAATCCAGTGTAGCAGTTTTAATGCAAAAACACCCTTAATTCCATCTGTCTCCTTCAACAACCAATCAAAGTCAAGCAGAACTTCCTGTTCGGACTAACATAGTTTTTACTTTTTTTATTCGTAAATATCCTTAAATAGAGGTAAATACTAATAATAATGCAAAGTAAATTCAAGCAAAGTGCTGACAGACAACTTTCACAACCTGACAAGAAAGGCAGGTATTGATGAGAAGAAGCACTCTGAAATTGTGACTACAGGTGACGCCAGCACAAAAAAAACTGTCATCAGTGGACATATGCCCTTAGATTCTGAACATTTTATAAGTATTGACTGGCATTGTACTTTGTCAAACATTGTTCAGCTCAGACGAGTAATAGTAGTAACTAACTTATACAAGTGGTGAAAAAAAAATGCATAACAGTGATGGAAAAACACTTAGGGCCTGTACACACTAACAGCATCTTTGTGCCAGCAGCACCAATTTTCTGTACAAAACCAATCCAGTGTAGCAGTTTTAATGCAAAAACACGTTTAGCTCCAGCTGTTTTTTCACTGCGGTCCTGGTATCATATCGTTGGACTTATCACAATCACTTCTCCCTCAACAACCAATCAAAATCAAGCAGATCTTGCTGTTCTGACCAAAATAGTTTTTTACTTTTCCTTTGGTAGGGGTAAATATTAATAATAATACAAAGCAGATTCAAACAGAGTGCTGACATACAACTTTCATAACCTGACAAGAGAGGTATTGGTGAGAGGAAGTGCTCTGAAATTGTGACTACAGGTGATGCCAGTGCAAAAAAAACACGTCATCAGTGGACATATGCCCTTAGATTCTGGTCATTTTATAAGTATTGACTGGTATTATACTTGGGTAGTTAATATTCAGCTGTTATCTAAATGGGAATAAAATGGTTTTGGAAGGCTAATTTGTCACTGTTTTTGGATGACAGCACTATCAAATGTGTTTTCCCCTTTTGCCTTTTATGTCATTTCAGGCAGTAGTAGAGGTACACACTGATGCTGGTTGAAGAACAACATACAAGCATTTTTCTTATATGCATGAGGTAAAAGTACAGGGCGGAGGGGAGGACCTCTGACAGACACTTTCAAACCACTTTATGAAAACGTCCACGCCTGAAGCATGCCTGTCTTAAAAGAAAGAACATTCCCTAATTTACCCCCCCGCCCCCCCAGCAGGATGATTGTAGCCTTTTTTTGAGAGGAGAGGTGACACAATGCTGCCTAAACGCAATGATTAGGGCGAGTGGAAAGCAGAAGTGAATGGCTGATGAATATTTCATAAATGTTGGCAGCACTTACTGGACACAAGGCCTGATTGATGGCAGAGTGGCTGTAAAGACTTGGCTGCTGAAGGGCCTCAGCCTCCTTTCACACCAGTGCTTACTTCAAGCACCGCCGTTAATCGCAGAATAAAGATGCATTTAGCTGAAGAGCTCTTCATTAAAGGCCTGCTTTAAACAAAAGTAGCTGCAAAGGATTTGTGTCATCTGAGTGAAACGTAAAGGACTGCAGAGAATGGTGGAGAGTAACAGGCACAATATGAACATTTGTCTTTAGTTTTAACTCTATACCATCTCAGCTGCTTTTGAGCTACATTTGAGTAAAGCTCTAGAGATTTTTCAGGATATAAAACTTTAAAGAAATGCAGACATACAGCCAACATAAGGGTGTTACATTACAAGAGAAATTCTGTTTGGTACAGGCCTCTGTTCTGAAAACATTCGGATGTATTACTACTAGGGCTGGGCGATAAAATGATAATGATATATATCGGATATTAATTTCCCTCAATATCAATATAATACATTGTCAATATGCTTTTCGATAGTGGGCATTCTGCTGCCATGTTTTGGTAGACTATATAAATAGCCAATGAAAAGTGGAGTTGCTCCCGGCCGCTTCACCCTGAACCAATCATGTGCTGAATTAGAACCAAGTAGCAAACAACTGCATAGTAGCACGCTGCAGCTGCACACAACCATAGCACTTTAACAGAAAATGAGTTCTACCCTGGCAGAAATGCAGATGAAGGCCCAACAGATGACAACATCGTCGACAACACTGGCATGAAAACGTTGGTGGTGTGGAGGTTTTTTGTTTTTAAACAGAGTAATATGCACTGCAAATTATGTCGAGTACATGTTCTTGCAAAGTCAGGGAATACCTCAAATCTTTTTCACCACCTGAAGCAGTGCCACACGGCAGGGCACGCACAATGCAAAAGGTCACAAACCCCAAGCAGAGCAAGGAGCTCATGGCGCCTGTGCAGCCGAAACAGCATTCAGCACCATTCAGTCCGCTTTCTCTAGCGCAACGCCTTATGACAGAACACCGAAGAGATACAAAGACCTCACAGATGCAGTAGCTTATTGTATCGCAAAAGACATGCTAGCAATAAGCACTGTTACATTTCATTTTTTATATTGTGATAAATATCGATATCGACCGATGTGAAAAAATATATTGTGATAAACTTTTCCCATATCACCCAGCCCTAATTAAAACCATTATTTAGCCCTGAACAAACAGCTTCTTGCTTATTTACATTCTTGTCTATGAGTTTACAGTGATAGTATGATGATTTTCCTTTTATATTGATTTTTCAGAGTGAGCATGTACAAGCTTGGTCCTTCGAGGGTGCCAATGGCCTAACAGTTAAGATGTTACAGTCCTTGTTGCATCCTTTGCTTCATGTCTTTCCTTACTCTCTGCACCCCACATTTCCTGTCTCTTTTTCTGTTCTCCTTCTTTTCTATCTTATAAAGCTAAAAGAGTTCAAAAAAAAAAAAAAATCTAATTGAAAAAAGTATCTACAGCTCGTGCCTTCTGCCTAGAACCTGCTGGTACATGACCCTGCCTATACAGATGAGGAGAGACCCCCCACAACTGTAGATCCACTTGTCCGGCTCTCTTTAATTAAAGCGTGAGCATTTTTCTGTTACCGACAAGTCCATTTGCAGACAACCATCCATCAGACATCTGCCCCCTCTCTGCAGGCATGTAATGAATTGAGCAAAAGTGATTTGTGGTGGTAATCCTTTAGAGAAGCTGAATGAAGTGTAAGCATTGCATGTATTTTTTACCCATCTCCCTTTATCTCTCTGCGGATGAATCATGCCCCGTAGGCATCAGTATGGTATAGATGGCAGCGAACATTATGTTGACTAAGGTTTTGGTGCGATTATCATGTATTTCTAATAAAAGTAAAGCCTCAAGAATGACTCTGTCTCATTTTTCATTAGCTCTAGTGCCCTTTACCTGGAGTCCTCGGCCAATTCTTCAGCTTCCCCATGAGCCTGGCTAATAACTTCATTCAGAACATTATGGGAATGGAGGATTTGAGCCGTTATGAATGTGGTATTGGTGCAGAGAGCTTAGATGGATATCACTATTTGCTGTTAAAATTGTCATGAAAGATGAGGGTTTGGGGCGTTGACCTAATGAGTTAACTTGCTGGTCCTTGTCTACAGAGACCATAGTCCTCAAAGCAGACGGCCCAGGTTCGAATCCAACCTGCAGCAATGATTTTGCAGTAGGCTTTGCAGGCAGGAGATGCATCGTCTTAAATAACAGCTTGATGAACCACAACGCCCACAGTGGCACCTTTATTGGTTTCTCCAGTGGATACAGAGCTTTGCTGCCTGCATGGCCCCTCTACCACAGTTAAACTAATGCAACTTAGCTTTCTTGTCTCTTGACAAGCATGGCACATCAACAGGATAGCAGGGACAAAATGTGGAATTCCCACAAGTAGGGCTGGGCGATAAAACAATAATAATATATACTGAAAATTAATTTCCCTCAATATCAATATAAAACATGATCAATATGCTTTTCAATAGTTCGCATTCTGCTGCCATGGGCGGAGTCACCGAGTCGGGCAAAGTAAATTCTGAGAGTTTTTGGGGTCGGGTTGAGCATTTTTTACGTGCTTCTAACTCAGTAAATCCACGCAACAAAAACTTGAAAGTTCCATACAAAACGCCGGACATTTTGAAGGATTTTATAAACTCCCTCGGACAAGGCTGGACAGTCCCCAAAAAAGAGGAAATGTCCAGGTAAAAGAGGACATATGGTCACCCTAATGTTAGCCATAATGTATGATAGTCAGCTACATATATATTAGTAACTCATACATTGTGACCAATCAACTGGTTGGCACACTGCAGACGTAAGAGCATGTATAAATGTTGTGCCTAAAAATAGCACAAAAGAGACTAAACTTTCAAGTAAAATGCGGGAAATTTCCTCAGTAGAGTGTACACTTACTCATGGTGCATCATTGAGAATGACAACAAAAATACTTGGTGTATCAGAGCCTTTATCATTAAATAAGTGTTTAACAAGACATTGTAAAGTGCGGTTTGTAATGGAAGAGGTTAATTGCTTTATTTCTACTTGAGAGTCTACTTGCATGAAGGTTGGAGATGTTCTGAAAAGTTAGCCCTGAATCTCTAGAATATTCATTCCTAACGAAAATATTAATCTCTAAAGCCAGTTATCACTTAAATATGTTTATTTTAGCTATTATTTTGTGGGTTTAATTGCAAGAGCGTATTTTAACAAACAGGCTAAACTAAAAAAGTAAAAAATAAAATAGGGGTTTTTTTTTCCAGTAAGGAAATGTTGCAGTTGTACTGAGGAATGAGTATCTTTAGTGTTTAAGGCTTGACTGATTTTTAAATGAGGTTTTATACCATGAACAACCGTACATTTGAATTTGAAACTCCTCAAAAATATTGTTAGTATTACTTTTGTATCTTAAACCAACAAAAAACCAACCATAAATTCATGGTAGAATTTGTTTTCTCAGGAGAGTTGAGGTCATGAATGTGTCCCTTCGTGGGCTAGCCCCAGACATGCCCAGCCCTGCATGTCCCAAAGGGCCTCCTGTCAGCTGTGTGCCTCCACCACTGTCATTGACTGTATATATGCATGTGTGTGACTGTGTGAGTCTGTGTGTGTGTGTGTCCTGCCGCAGAACAAGACCCAATTTGATTTGCTCCACTGGCCTGTGAAGCTCGGCTCTGAGGCAGCACCTCTCTTTATTCCCCTAATGGCTTCCCTTCCCCACCGCTCCTTACTCTTCCCCAGACACCAGTTATGTGCACTCTTGTAAATATACATACACACACAACAGCGGGAGAAAAAGACTGGGATGCGTAGATCCAAAGACAGAGATGGAAGAGAGAGGAAACAAGTGAAAGAGAGTGGAAGAAAAGTGAGGCAAAGAATAAAAATAGAAAAAAATTGGTGTTCACTCTGGGGGAAGAGGCAGTCGTTCTCCCAGAGGCTGACCTTGGGGTTAGGGTCTCTTTAATCTGGGGATATTAAGGACCTTTAGACAGGCCTGGCGGATGCAGGAGTGGTGGGACCTGCCTATCAAAAAATGGGCGGAGATGCATCAGGAATGGTGAATTTCCTCAGCCGGGGCACGAGCCGGGTTTGTCACGGTGTCATTTGTGTTTCAGCGAGGATGGAGTTCAGGGGCAGCAGAGGTTAAGCTTTCTGCTGCTGTTGCCACCCACCCTATACCATGTAGTACATTACATATAGTATTACCCCCCTCCCCTGACAGGCGATCTAAGCAGTAGCTCTTGTGAGTTGAACCATGTAAGTGAGTATGATGGAGTGACATGTAAATTGCACTGTATAGGACTTGCAATTGGCACATTCTATAGCTAACCAACAGCATGGTTCTGCTTAAATGGGTTCTCTAAGCATCCATGTGTGACTTTGAGTCTAAATGGGTCATACCATACAGGTACAATTCAATCATATATGAAATGAGCTTTCTGCAAGTAAACTTAGGAAATGATTTTCTTTGTCGAGTCAAATGTATGGAGTTCAGTGTGTGTGTGTGTGTGTGTGTGTGTTTGGTTGGGGGTCTCGAGGAAACTGCAAAGGCTGTGAGGGGGGGGCACTAATTTAAGAGGCTTAATAATGACCCCCTACTATTCTCTGCAGGAACTGCCTTCGTTCGCCCATCACATCACATGCATGGCATGACATGGAAACGAGAGATGCATGTCATTTTTGACACGGCTTGGCACTTAGTGGCTGCAGGGGAAACTTCTCCATGAATGTCTTGCTGCAGTACCTGCCTGTTTCTAGGGCATGGGAAGGAATAAATTGAGAACAACGGATTCCTTTTCATCTTTTAGACTGAAAGAAACAACGCAGTCGTGAAATCTTCGGGAAAAAATGCGGAATATTCAAAGCAGCAATGATGTACACTGCAACTTGTTTGTTGGAGAAATGAAAGAAAAGGAGCCTTGAAACGTACACCCTAGTTAGATTAGCTTGTTTGTTAGATTAAGGTACATCACTGTTCCTCTGACAAAAAAACATTCATTATTGTGTTGCTTTGTACCAGAGTCAAGGTAAATGCTGAAGATCTCTCAGGGAAAAAATGACAGAGGGGTTTATTTTTAATTGACAGGCTTTTGTCTGTTGCGCCCGCAGCACCAACTGATGAGGACTATAAATAGACAAAATGGGCTTGCCGGCCACATGGGTGTGTATGGACAATTTAAATCTTCCATGCTGCTCAGACTCAATAGATTAATTGATCCTGTGTATGGTTGACAAATCAGCTTGAGAGCAGTTAGAGAGGATAAAAGGTGAACGGGGAGGGTAAGGCGCACACTATGTTTGAGGTAAATATCCTGGGATTTCCAAAGCTCGGAAATCCAATTGTGTGACCTTTTTTCTTCCTGGCTAACAAGAAGGCATCGTCACTATTAAAAGGCAGCTTTGAGCTTCCAAGGAGCACAGGGTGTGTGTTTCACCGGAGTGAAAGAGTCAGTCATGCCAGACAACATGAATGAGCTGAACATGGAGATATAATGACACTGACAGGCAGTAAAACGGTGAAGTGCATGACATAAACATGAGCTTCAGGCATTAATCAGGCACGTTTTATAACACTGAACTCTAACACTCATTTTTAATATACAACCATATCTTCTATGTTTAGATTGCCTCTCCAAACTTTAAATTTATTCTTATTTTGTATGAAAAAAGTTGAAACTCTGCTTCTTCCTATACTGACACCTGAGGCACATTTATTCTGGGTAGCTTGATACTTGATTCCATAACATGAGCTAGCAGCTCACTATTGAATGTGGTTGGTTTCTTCTTTTAAAGAGCACTAAAAACTCCAGGGTGCATTGCCAAAAAAAAGGGGGCCCCTTTGCGTTGCCCCTTGACGCAACAGTCACCATAATGCAAGTGGCACCGTGTGTCCGCTGTTAAACTATTCGCATGAGAATTTCTCCCTCCTTTTCCCTTCCACTTATCTCTCCTCTATAGTCTTCCTGTCTTTGACCCATGTAGAATGTGGCTTCCCATTTGGGCCTCCATGCGTCCAGTCATTTACATTTCAGCACATTCAGAACCACTCAGACAGGATCTGAAAGCGTGTCATCACACTGACTGTCGGGGGAGGCAGGTCCCGTGATTTCATTTAAATTTTCATGTTTTTTGGGGCGTTTTAGTTCCACGGAGGGGTTTTCTCAGCGGTGACCGTTTTAAATGATTGTGAGCTTCAAGTGTGAGTAAGAGTCATAGCCGCCTGATAACAGCTCACAGTCAGGATAAAACCCAAAGGTGTAATCTGCACAGTTTTAGTTATGATCTCTAAAAAAATCTCCTCCTTCACCATAAACTTACAACTGCTGAGTTGTAACCAAGAGCTTTCATAGTTGGGAACATAAAATAGACCCAATGCGACAATTTCAGGTGAATCTTTTTTAATTTCCTCATGAAATGACCCAACTGCCTCGTTCCTTTTCTTAGAAGATTTACTGTAAAAATCACAGCAGCTTTCTCTTTCTGGGATATCATTTCACTGGGGGGCTTGTCTGACCGGCTTGGACTCATCCTGCCAAGTTGGAAATGTGGTTTCACAAGAAATTTTGATTCAGAGTCGAAGATGTCATTCATCTAGCTTTGAAAGAACTTCCTACTTACAGACCTGTTTATCATTCAGGCTGGTTAATGGCATTTTAACAAATAAGTATTGGCTCATGAACTCACAGGACAGATTCAGAAACTAAACAAACAATGTCTGCAGAAAGTGCAGACATCCTTTTCAATGTTTCTGGCTAGACTTAAATATTATTTCTGTTTTGAAAAATACATTGTGTAATTGTATAATTCAAAATTAAAGTGTTTGTCAGTACTCAAAATATACTGCATCTATATGATATCAATTCTTTTAGTGTGTGCTGTATTTTGCGCATATTTAAGACACTGGACTTGCTCCTTGTGAAACATAACATCTCACAACTTTCAGGTACAAACTGCAACACCAAAGTTTTAAGCCCCTCTCTCTCTCTCTCTCTCTCTCTCTCTCTCTCTCTCTCTCTCTCTAGAGCATTGCTTCCCTAACTCTCCACTAACACCCTCTCAATGCAGACAGCACACCCTCCTTATCAATCCAGAAAACCCTCATGCACGCTTGTTTGAGGGAGGAGGGCACAGTTAGAACCAGAAGAGCAACCCAAGGTAGTTACAGCGCTCAGATAGATATTACCGAGGAATATCCACTCATCACCTCCCTTTGCCATGAAGCACAACAAAAACCACAACCTGAGTCGTCTCCAACTCCCTCCTTTTATGTTGCTTGGAGATGTGTTTTTGTGAGGGATCTTTGACAACCAGGCCATAGCTGGAAGTGCCATTATGGTCACACTGGTGCCTTTTTGCGTCAAAGGGTCTGCTATAACAGTGACTTACTGTAGGTATCACAATATGAAGATACATGTTGTGTATATATCTATAATGAGAGATATTGCAATAGTTTTCAAAAGCCACATTTGTTAGAGAGATAAAAATACTGCAACATTTGTTTTTGTTTCACAGAAGTAAGGGACAACAATTGATTAATCGATAATTTACCCCGGCCGTCTTCTGATCAGGCAGAGCCAGCAGCCACATAAGACAACATTAGGACCAAGTGCTCAGTGAACAAGCTGGCCCCGTTTTTGACCTTGAACATTTCCAGGAATATGTTTATTTTTACAGGAACTTCACAGTTTGTAGATCCCTCACAAAACACACACACACACACACAAAGCTCCTTTCCCCCTTTGATGATATTGTGAAATTAGCCTATTTTTAATCAAATGCGCCCCAGTGTTCATGTGTTGAAAAATGCTGTTTTTCTTCCATCTTCCTGAGGTTGTTGTTGGAAAATAATTCTGTGGATTACACTGGCAAGCAGACCCTGAACCTTTCTAACACTGTAATCCAAAGAAAAAGCATGGCCCTTTTTTTTTTTAATCGGGGAGCTCCAAAGATAAACAATAATAATACATTTCAGCTAATGAAACAGACCACAATGAATGTAGAGCTTAACCCATGCCGTGTGAGTGCCTCAGCTCTGTCGCCATTTCTTTGGAGCTGTTTGTTTTTTAACTGCCTGCCATTGTTACTGTTTTTAATCCCAGTGAAATAAACTTATTTGAATTCTCCATGGATTAAAGAAACTGCGATTTTCCACTTCAAACACATGCAGCGTTGTTGGGTGATAAAAAGACTGCAGCTCAGCACCACCGCCACATTGTCCTTTTTTCCTCCTGCTCCAAATTATTTTAACCGTAGCCTTTCTCATTTTGTTTTCCAACTGTCTGCTTGCCTCTGTATAAATATCTTTGTCTATTTGGAGGTATTGTTTACCTGTTTAGCCAAAAGCTGGTTTGAATAATCCCAGAGCCCACCTGCTCAACTTAAACTGTCGGGTGTCTACGTGCAAAAATATGTGCTTTTATGAAACACAAAACAAAGCATGGCTGTAATTGCAGAGAAAAACAATGCAGTCTGCAGCAACTGAATGCAAGCTTTATTGCATCGATGAACCCTTATTAGTGCAATGCCACTGTTCCATCTATAATGCATCTATAATATAGTGCAGCCACCTGACCAAAATTTGCCTCTGAATATTTTGTAATTTTGCGCCGTATATTTGCATCATTCCCGGTGTGTAAGGACCTTAAGGATCAATTCCTACATGGTGGCAAAGCAATGCCAAGGTCCAAGCGAAGGATAGAAGAGGGGTACTGGGTGAGGAGGAAGAGAAGTGTGACAAAGTTTGCATAAGTTGGACATGGTTCGGTGGATCGATTGAAGAAAGAGAAGGTACGATGTTTCAAAAACATTCATTAGAAAAGATGTCAGGTGAAAATGTATGAAGCAGATCACAGGACACACTGTAAAAAGAAGAAACATCTTGCATAAGGTGATGCATTACTGGTCAAAAGTAAAAGCAGTAAAGTGTCCTCTATGTGCCGTTGTTTATTTTTTTTGCAAAAATGACAAACTGGGATAAAAACAAACATCTTAAAGACGATAAATTTGGAGCAAACTATGCTGAAAACAGAGCTACTTTTAAGCTATTCTTGCTGGGCAGCGAAGGCCAATACGATACGTTATACAACTTGTGTAATTGACATGTATTTCGATCCGTGTTTCAGGCTCATTATTTTCATGAATTTGCTCATTAAAGTCTCCAAAAAGCTGCAACATACTGACAGTGAAGTCCGTCTCTCCACTCCCACCAACACCACTGCCACCCTCTTGGGCTGGGGGCATTTTAATTGGCCCACTTTCGAACTGTAATTTTTTTAATTGCTTGGAGACACTCTGCTCTCCTTAAAAAAATCAATGCAGATGTAATAATATCTGTAATTGTCTGCCACGCTCCAGGGACACCACAAAAGCCTCGGATCAATGGAGGAAAGCAGGGAAGCTGGTAGGGGTTAATTTTTTCCTTTCTAGAGGTAATGACAGGGAGGCAACGCTTGGCTCCTGGCATTGAGGCACAACTTGTGCTGTTCCTATTGTCTCTACAACGCCTAATTGGGCCAAATGCAGTTAGTTCCCCCTGGCAGAGGCTGTCGAGGTGGTGATTAATGAAGCCTCTAGTCACATAACCTGATAAAAAAGAAAAGAAAAGGATGGGAGAGGGGAAAAAATATCAACCTGCTTTGTGTTCTTCATCCTTTTTCCTTCCTTGTGCTTTTTCACTGCCTTTGTCAATTCTTTGGAAGTTCTTTCTCTGAGTAAACAGGTGAAGTAGTTTAAGTTTGTTGAGGTTGATTTTTCTTCAGGGAGGTAAAGAGGGAAAGTCCATTTCATTGGAAGTAGCTAAGCTGGAATCTAGAGTCTTATATCAAATATTAAATCTCCTTGATAAAAAAAAATAATAATAGCTGGATTGTCTTGCAGCTGACAGTGTTTGGATTTCGCCACAGTCCTTCCTGTAAATTCTCTTGAGAGGAGTGTCAGAAATCCAGGATCAAGAGGTCACAGGTATTAGCCTCCTTGGATCGTCATGGCCTTTGACTAATTACCTCATTAAGCTGCACTCCAATACTTTCCACGGTCTCTGCAGCTCAGCCGTGTTACTGGGTGTAAAGAGGACAGGATGGACACGGGACTCATCCGCGGCGACCTGGGTGAACTGACCGCAGCTTGTTGCTGCCTGGTGGGTGGGGATGTAGGAGGGAAATCAATCCTGTGTAAATATATTAGATGCAATTACATCCTGCTGGACTTTGCCTAACACGTTTATGGAAGCATTAGGCAAAGTCTTCCTTTATCAAGCCTCCCCCTCAGGCCATTAGTCCAATGACATGTAATTTTCACATGTAGGTGCTGTTTGCAAGGTATTGGATAAAAGAGCGCAGGGGAGGAGTAGTGTGTCTATGTTTTGATTGCATTCAGAACAGTGGTTTTTATTAGTTTTATTACGTTCATGTCAAGTTGGGGTTTGTTGTTCTACTAAAGAGGCGGCTTAATGCTACAAGGCAACCGGGCTTATGAAGAAATTTCCAACTGCTTCTTTCGTATAATCATATTAAAGTAGTGTAAAGAGTTCAAGATGTAATAAATGACTCTTAGACATCCTATTCCCTGTTTTTACAGAAAAGTTGCTTTATAAAACTTGCTGTTTCTTTTACTTTCACAAGGTTGGGCACAATTTCATCATTTGCTCTATACAAACAACTCTCTCTTTAAAAGGATAGTTTAACATAGGACTGAGCGATTATATGATTGTGATAAATGATTGTGATAAATATTAGTGGGCACATTTACTCAATCAAACATGGCGGAAATGTGCGTGACAACAGCCAATCAGAGTCGAGCTTTTCCTGCTCACTTTTGTAAGTTGCCGGAGAAGTAAACAGAAGAAGTAAACAGAATTACCAAACATGGAGCTAAACGCGGAGCTGAGGGCAGGAAATGAGATGTCATCCGTGACTTTGAGTCATCCTTCCAAATGCGCTATTGTTGAGAAGAAAAGTTACTCAACGTCGGTTGTGTGGCGGTGGTTCAGGTATCTCCAAAGTAACGTTGAGCAATTACGCCGATGTGCAAGGTATGTCTGCGGTCGGTACCTTCAAAAACCAGCAACACAACAAATCTGTTTAATCATTTGAATAACTTTCCAAGTGATTATGCGGAAAGCATGAAAATGTGAGCAGAGTCTGTACAGCCTGACACTGCTGACGGCACGAGTAGCATTAGCAGTTTAGCCAAAACTAGCGGTGCAGCCACCAGACCAAAGCAGCAATGAATCAAATCATCTACATTTACATCATCTAATGTTTATATTTTAAGGCGTCTTCATTAGGCCTGAGGGGGCGATTTGTTTATTTTGGGTCTTGCATACCTGCAGAAACACCCAGGACTGTAAACTAGTTCACTGTATTATTTAATATTTATCTATATTTGTTGTATTGTTGAGTAAAAAATTTTTTTATATTTTTTTATTATCTTATTTAATTTGCTTTGTCATTGACTTTGTATGTTCATAAAGTGTTGAACTAATCTCTGTTTTTTTAGTTTATAGTTCTTTAGTTTATAGTACAGATGATGTAAAACTAGTAATTAAAAAAAAAAGAAAATTAAACCGTGAGTGATAATAATCGAGATCGGACGACCTAATAAAGTGTTGAACTGTTTGCTAGTTTTTTTAGTCTTGAGTACAGATGCTGTAAAACTGGCAGTTTCAAAAAAATGAAGAAAAAAACAATTGTGATAATAATCGAGATCAGACGATATGACAAATAATATTGTGATCTTTTTTTGCCAAATCGCCCAGTCCTAGTTGAACAGCATTTCCTCAAAGACAAGAGTGATGTCCTCATTTCTCATACCAGTGCTCTGTTGTGTGTGATCACTGGCAGCTGAGATGTTTTAGCGTTATTTCAGGGACTTGATTAATGTTTGTATTTGCGCATGTTCATTTGGTCTGGAATTACACAGACACCTTAATTCCTCTGTGAAAAAATACCCAATTACCATAAAACATATGAATGATAATTGTGGAACAATGTAATGTCAATAGCCTTCTGATTAATCCCTCTGAACGGAGCCAAACGGCTGGCACACTGACTCCATAAGTGATAAGCAATTTCATTTGTTCCTAATTACTAAGAGGCCCATTTTGCCACTGTCATGATGAGATTTCCAAAAACCTCCTTAAGCAGTCAGGCTGTATACATGCATAAAAGCATTTTTCCCTCTCTCCCTTTCTCTACTTTTGGAAGGTTTTCAGGTCTAATTACTCACAAGAGGGCATGTGTGCTTACTGTAGCACAAGAGGTGCTTGACAACTAAGTTTATCCCACACAGCCAAAGTGGATTCAGGTACTTTTGAGAAGAGAAGCACTTGCCCCGAGTCCACATGAGTTTGTCCTGGACCCACACCAACGCCAGAATGCAAATGTGTTTTTGTGCGTATTATAAAGACTTCTTCCAGCGGGTTTCAGAGCAAATACGTCCAATTTGTTTGTAGCTTTCTGAAATAGCCCAGGCCTAAATGCCATAGGTTCTTCAAACAGTCAGGGCTTTTTTTCCCCACCTTTCTCTTTCTTTCAGAGTTGGACTGGGGAGGAGGTCTGGTCAGATGGGCTAAAACCCAGCATCACACAGTTTTACCTCAGGGCTTCCTCGCTGTCACCCAACAGCACCCTCAAGACCACTATTCTCCTTCTTATCCCAGACCTGAATTCTTCATTTGGTCACACTGCTTGCTCCTGAATAGTCACCTCTGAGGAGATTAACCCTTTCATTAAAAATGCCTGACCGGGGTCAATCTACTGCCTGGCTCTGCAGTCCCTGCTCCTCGCTTTGATCTATCAGCTATGGAGAAAATATTAGCAAACTCTAAGCTGTGCCATGTGATTTGTTTTTGTAAATTTGTAGAAATTATTCATAATCCTATTATGTGGACAAGGGGCAAACCTGGTGAAAATATATGAGGCCTTTGTTATCAAGGACGAAAGACGGAGGAAAGTTTGAATGTGGGTGCACTGAAGTTATGGGAAAGTAAAGGAGTGAAGGATCGGTCCTAATCTTACGAATAAAGCCCTGTGATAAATAGATGCCTCTGATATGACTGAGAAGGAATAACTAGCGTCCACACTTACTCATCCCCACCTCGATCCCACTCCTACGTACGCCGCTTTTGTTGTAGACAAGAAATAATTGTGACGTTACAAACCTCCATCCAAGCAGCATTCATTATCAGCAGGGTAATGTATTGCACATAACCAGAGGAAGAGAGAAATCACAATTTTTACACCTCCCATCTCCCTTTCAGGGGCCAATACTTTGCAGAACAAAAGTCAATGTCTCAGCCCAAATCTCGTCTGACAACGCGTAGCAGCCTGTGCTATTTTAGGCTCTTTGTGGTGCCAATCTCCTATCTCTCCCGTGACATTTTTTCAAAGAAAGAGTAGATTTCCTAGAGACTCTGCCCTTTGCAACTTCCACAGTGTATTCTTGCACATAGAGTAAGGACCCTCCTCCTCACTCTAATGCCGTCGCTCTCTGCAGTGACCGGAGAAAAGGGAAAATTAAGACAGCGTATCAGGCTCAGAGCCCGAGCTTTAGTTAGTGGAGTGAAAAGACGTTATACAGATGCTTAATTCCCAGTTACACTTTTGGAATAAAAGGTGCAGAACCTGGGAAAATTC